GTTATTTATTCAGTCCGCCAGCATCTATCCTCCTTTAAACCTCACTTTCACTCTTTTGTCTTCGTCACTTCCTTCTTCTCAGTGAGTAAACAGCGTCTTCAGACCCTCGTCGCCATCTTATTTATTAAATTTCCCTCCTTTCCCCCACAGTGTTCCCTATTCCTTTGTCTTTATCTTTCCTTCAAGGACCTTCGTTTTCAAAGCGGCTGCTTCACTCTACCCAGCCCCAATCACAGGCTGCCTGCACCGCTCTGCACTTTTCTAGTAAGTCTGTTTCAGATAGTACGCTTTTCAAATAGTTTAATTGCAATCTGAGTGATTTCTTTACACTCTCTCTATATTTCTTCTGTTCTTCTGTCTTCCCTTTACTTTTGTGGTAGCGTTGTTCCCCCTCCACTATTTTTACTCTTTACTCTTTGGGTTTACTCACTCTGCGTGGGGTCCCCCCCCAAGTTCCCCTTTCTTCTTATTTCCTTTTGAGTTTTGTTGCTGCTGCTACCACTTTACATTTATTTTAATATAGAAATAGAGATTTTACCATCTTTCCGCTGCTAGAGTGATGTGAGGCTTCTCACCGGTCTGTTTGATGTTGTTCTCTGTGCCTGGATTTCCCCCCCCCCACCTCTGCCGTTTGTTTTTCAGCGAGGGGTGCCGGGACTCCAAGAGACACTGCCAAAGTTCCTTTGGCTTGAGCTTCCTTCCAAGCCTTTTCAGGGGTCGTTTAGCCAAACGTTGCCCCTCACAGTACCAGTGTACACCCCGACTTGCTTACTGCAATCAGAGCTCACCCGTTGCAGCTGTGGTAAAAACAGAAGTCCCTAGTACATTATTTTCATATAATTTTCTTTCAAAGTACAACATGCTGAGAATTTCAAATCCATAACCTTTCTGAAAGCTGGATATTATGCCCCAAATCCTTAGCCCAGTGAATCATTACAGATTTAATTTATTCATCCTTTGGTATGCCAGTAATCTGTACATTTTCAACAGTAATTTTATATTATTTTCTAACAAGTCTTTTTCAAATCTTGAGGTCTCATAACTGAAACCCTTCTTTTTATCTATCTTAAAAATATCATTTAGTTGGTGAAATTGTAACCTATCAGTTAATAAATCCCTTATCTCTTCAAAATCCTTCAATTTCACCTGATGTTTTACTTTGGTTAACAGTATGTCACCCAATTACTTCTCATATTTAGTTTTTTCAAAAATATCGCTTCTAGTGGGGAAAGCTGCCACGGTGTTTTCTGTTCTAGTAAATTTTTATATTTTTCCCTTACTATAAAATTTGATTTTCTTACTAGACAATTCTGAAAGCCTTTATGTACTTTTGCGTTTTCGTATCATAAGTATGCATGCGAACCAAATCTGTTATCGTGTCCTTCCAAATCTAATATATCTACATTTTTCAATGTTATTCATTCCTGGAGCCACCAGAGACAGACACCGCATAATATAGTATTAAGTCTGGCAAGGAGAAGCCAGCTCTCTCTTTAGCATCTGTTAATAATTTATATTTTATTCTTGGTTTACTCCCCTGCCAGATAAATCTAGACATATCTTTTTTCCATTCTTTGAAGTGTCCTACCCCACTGATAACGGTTATCGATTGAAATAAAAATCAGATTCTTGGCAATACATTCATTTTTATTATTGATATTCTTCCCCATAGCAATAAGTTCATCCTTCCCCAAATCTCTAAATTCTTCTTTCCAAGTGGTTGTGTAATTATCTTTAGAAATATTTATATTCTTAGCTGTCAACCATACACCTAAATATTTGATCCCCCCCATATAGATAAATCTGTAGTTCATTGTAAATCCTTTTTATATTGCTCTGTTACATTTTTCACCAAGACCTGTTTTATTTTTGTTTAACTTGAATCCCGCTACCTGACCCAATTCCTGGATCCTCTCCAAGACCCTTGGTATGCTGTTTCTCGGGTCTTCCACAGTAATCACAAGGTCATCTGCAAAAGCTTTGATTTTATATGCTTTACTTCCTACCATTATTCCTTTTATTTCCTCATCCTATCTTATCTTTCTCACCAGTGTCTCTAAAACTAGAATAAACAATAACAGTGACAGAGGACACCATTGTCTTGTCCCCTTTGTTATTTTACATTTTTCAGTTATCACATTATTCACAATCAGCATGGCCTGTTGGTCTGAATAAATTGCCTCAATTCCTCTGCCAAATGCCTCCCCAAAGTTCATAATTTCTATTGTTTTTTTCCATAAATAACCATGAAACAACATCAGTGCCACTTGTTTTTCATTCCTAACCGCCAGATACTCTGTGATATCATTATATTTCTTATATTGTCCTTCATCTGATGGCCTGGTAAAAACCCAGCCTGATCTTAATGAATTACCGTATTTTTCGCTCTATAAGACGCACCAGACCACAAGACGCACCTAGTTTTTGGAGGAGGAAAACAAGAAAAAAAATATTCTGAATCTCAGAAGCCGGAACAGCAAGAGGGATCGCTGCACAGTGAAAGCAGCAATCCCTCTTGCTGTTCTGGCTTCTGGGATAGCTGCACAGCCTGCATTCGCTCCATAAGACGCACACACATTTCCCTTTACTTTTTAGGAGGGAAAAAGTGAGTCTTATAGAGCAAAAAATACGGTATGTTATTTAACACGCCTTTCATATGATTTGCAAGTATATTGGCAAATAATTTATAATCATTGTAGAGAAATCAGCCTATAATTTTTAATTGAAAGTACATCCGCTTCCTGCTTCGGAATCAATGTAATATAGGCCTCTTTCAAAGACTCTGGTATTTTTCCAATATTTAAAATCTCATGCATTACATCTTTAAGCAGTTGTACTGGATAATCTTGTAATTTCTTATAATACTTTGCTGATAAACCATCTGGCCCGGGCTTTTACCTACTTTAGCTTGCTTAATTGCATCATGCACCTCCAGCACCGTTATTGGCACATTTAAATATATTTTTTTCTTTTGGAATTTTTGGTAGTTTATTTTGTTTTAAATAATCTTCAATTTTCTCCTTATTTTCATTATCAGCTCGGTATACAGTTCTGTATGGTATCTTACAAATTGCCTCATGTCTTTCGGATTGTCTATCACTTTCCCCTCTGTATTTAATTTATGCTCTGTTTTTTCCTTAACTGCCATGCCAATAATTTACCTGGCCTGTTGGCATATTCAAATTTTTTCTGCTTCATCCTTTTTATTTTCCACTCTATTTCCTGGTTTACTATCATTGAACATTGTTTGTTTTATCGACTCCTTTCCAGGTTTTTAAAACCAACATTTTTAATCAATTCTTTCAGTACCCCCCCAATCTTTTTTCTGATAGGCTTATTGCTGTATGATGAAACCTCTCATTACTGCTTTACTGGCATCCCAGACCGTCTTTCTATCTGTTCCTTGATTTAAATTTAACTCAATGTAATCCCTCAGGGCTCCTTCTGCTTTTTGTAAAATATTTTGGTAATCTAAAATTCCTTCATTTAATCTCCATCTAAATGAGGTATTTTTTTCTCCTCTTATTCGAGCAATACTGGATTGTGATCCGAAAGTGTTCTTGGTGATATCTCTACTTTCAGGGCATACAGTGGTACCTCGGGTTAAGTACTTAATTTGTTCCGGAGGTCCGTTCTTAACCTGAAACTGTTCTTAACCTGAAGCACCACTTTAGCTAATGGGGCCTCCTGCTGCTGCCGCACCGCCGGAGCAAGATTTCTGTTCTCATCCTGAAGCAAAGTTCTTACCCAGAAGTACTATTTCTGGGTTAGCAGAGTATGTAACCTGAAGCGTATGTAACCCAAGGTACCACTGTATATAGTTCTCTAGAGATCCATACCAAGTCAATTCTTCTGCTAGACGGATGTGGTTCTGAGAACATAGGTGTTTAAATCTCCATATCAGATTAAAGTTTTCTACCATTTTGAAATGTTGTAGGTAGTCTCCCTTTCTTGAGTCATTTTTTAAATTCTCCTATCCATCTCTAGGGATACTGCCCCACTTGTGTCTCTGGTTATTATCTTCTGATCCATATATTCAAATATTTTGTCTTCTAACATTTTGTAAAATTCCAACTTTTTCTCATTTGGTGCATATATTCCAACTATTACTATTTTCTCACCTTGTGCTGTTATCTGTACTGCAATCATTCTTCCCTTCTCATCCTCAAATAATTGTTTCGGGTCAAATTTGGGTTTTATGTATAATACCACCCCTCTTCTTTGTTTTATCTAAATTTACAAAGTCAATCCAATTCTTTTATCAAGACTCCTGTCTCTCCTAGCTACATGCGTTTCTTGTAAGCAAATTAATATCTAAATTGTTTCTGTAACACGTTCTATCTTGATTCTTTTTACTTTGCTGTTCAGCCCATTTACATTCCATGTTAATATTTTTAAGTTCACCATTCTAATTTATTAATTTATCATCTCTAATTATGAGTCTTGTTCCTTTTCTTCTTCCTCATTTTCCCTCTTTATCCTCAGATATTCCTCCTCCCTCTCCCGCTGGCAAAGGCTTCGCACCTCCTGTTTTTTATATTTTCTCCAAAATTTCTCCGCCTCTGCTGTGTCTCTGCAGCCAACCCAAATTTCACCAAGGAGTCATCTACCTATGACAATGGGGGACAGTCACCTCCCCTCCCCCAGGTAGTCTGATCAGCCTGCACTGGCTGCCCGGGAGTCCTATGCCTCAGCCAGATGCCCCCCCAGCAGTCTGGGGGGGGAGGCTTTTTGTTATCCCTTTCCCACCTCACCAGAAGCCTGAACTTGCCAGTTTTTCAGTTATGAACACAAGCACTTCCCTTAGGGAGTAGATATAGTGCAACGTTTTCTTGCAGATCTCACTTGCATCCTTTAAAAAACAAGGTGGCTGACAGGCCAGATCTATGGCTTTCCCTTACAGAGCCCCACAGAGTAGCACAGATTGCCTGCACTCAAGAGGGCTGAAGATTCCCCAACTCCTGCCTGTCTCCTCACAGCATTCCAGCGGCAACAGTTCTTCAAAAGGCACAGATACTCCCCCAAAAACACACTCTTGACCAGGTGCAGAGTTGACTCTGTCTGAAAAGCATTTCCGAACTGTGGAGGATGCACACAGGTTCAAGAGGAAATACACTGTCCGTGGATGGGATTGGCACAAATATGGGTATTACACCACCACTGTGATCTCTTCGTATTTCCCTTGCTTGTGGACTGCACCACTTGAAGAGGCCAACTTTTAATTTCCTAACATTCTTCTGCAAGACCTCCAAATAATGAAAAAGTAAGCTTTGTAGACCAAAAACAAAATAAGGAATATCTTCAATAATGACTTCATTCCATTCAAACATCTGATATTAATAAACAACTCAATATTCAAGGCATTATTAAAATATTTAATTTGAAATTTGAAAGGAAAAAGGCAACTGTTTGTAGAATATATCCCTTTATTATTTCATGACTCACAAAAAGGTTTAAGACACAGATCATCTGATTTATTTTCTACGTAATTTTCTCAGTTTTGGGGCATCCTTGCCTTGTGGCAGGCAGCCAACAAAGTTACCTTTTCGTATGTACAGCAATTGCTTATGAAAATTTTTATGCTGATCTATTTAAAGTAGAAAAATAACATCCAAAGGGAAAATGTTAGCCATGAAACGTACAAAGTTAGGCAACAGAAACATGATGGCTTTGCAGAAGCATCAGATGTCAGAGATCAGCTCAGGACAGTTTTTGTTAGAAAGGCACTTTTTTGTTTTTCTTGCATTAAAACTGTGTTTTTCATCATGCTTCCATCATGTCACAATAATTAAAACAATAGTTAAAAAGGCAATGTAAATAAAGAAGAGAGTGAGTTAAAAAGACATAAATGCCAGGAATTAATGCAAATATTAAAAATAATTTTTTGGTCCTTTTATAAAATAGGCCACAGTGTTCAGGCAACAGTGATTCACTCCCTCCAATACTTATATTGGCCATTCCAGTGTGCAGATACATCTTGAGTTCATCAGTAGCTCCAAATATATACTTTTTGAAAGTTACCAGGGCTTCAGTTTGGCCATGCAGGTGTGTCTCAATACAATGGTTCTGGTAGCCAAGAAATCTATAATTCCGTATCCTTGTATCGAGCTGCTTGTCCATAGTATCCACGTTTAGAATTGTCGGCTAGCTGTCGTCGATAGTCCTCCTCTTCTGCATCGCTGCCGTAACTTCCTTGCTTATCTAGGTAAGGTCTACCTGCTGCTTTCTGTGGCTCTGGAGGTCTGGAACTAACATCAAAGCACATTATGTGAATTTAGATACAGCTGGTGCTCAGAAAGAGAGTGTCTCAAGCAGCTCTATAACCAGTTTAAAAGCAGTCTTATGACTACTTCCAAGGCTGTTTCAAGCTTTATCCCCACCGTATAAAATGCTGGCATGGTGCTCTTCCACATGGTTGTGCTTTGCACAAATAACAGTTCTGTTTAAAAGTTCCCTACTGCAAAAATTGGAACCTGACCAGCAGGTGCCTGCCAGGGCCCCATTTACCTTTTGGCACATGAGGAGGAAAATTAAGAGTCAATCCAACATCCCATTGGGACAAAAAAAGGCCAACTGTTTACATTATTTGTTTTGTATCAGCAGTCCATTTGCTCGTAAGTGGTTGACCATTCACTGCCATTTCACAGGACTCCTAAATCTACTCCTTGAGCTGAGCTGCTCCGTCCTGCCCAATGGAGCAGGCAGCCTTGCCCAGGACTGCTGCCACGGGGCAAACATGAATCCAGGCAGTTGCCCTGGACAACAGCTTGAAGCCATTACTACTTGCACAGGGAATAGCTTTCGGGTTGCAAACATTAAATCAGTGTTAACTAAGAAACAATTCTTCAGCATTTTATACACTCCCACTCCTTTAGGTCTCTGCAAATATACAGCCCAATCCTATGCAGAAATAATGACCCACTGTGTTCAACAAAGCTTCCAGAGCAGTGTGCAAAGGACTGCCGTTGTGCATGTGTCAACTTGTACATTTCGGTTACTGTGAACAACAGTCAGTCCAGCCGTCCTCTTCTTTCTCTGTCATACTATCAGAATCTTTTTTCCTCTGGACTTATCAGTATTAAAATTAGTTAAGGTAACATAGTGTTGTGTTGTGTTACTTATTTATTTAGTCCTTCCGTGTGCATGACATTTTACAGTGTTACACAGTTGTGGTAGAGCTGATAAGCCACCCTCTTTATTCCAGCTTTGCTGCGGCTTCCCTACATGGGACTGGGACTGGGTTAAGACCACACAACTGAATGAGTAGGAGAAGCCTCACCACTGCATGGTTCCCGTCAGTGCATCCGTGTCAAATGGCCTCCACCTTCCACCACCACTGTTCAGGTGAGCAGCAGTGACCCCAGTCTTGAGAGGGAGGCTCTGTGGCTCTGCTCTACCTCAAGCTCTGCTACTGGCCAAAGTCAACATTAATCAAAAGAGGGATGGCACAGTAATGGCAGTCGGGAGCTCTTTCGGCTAAAAGAGCCCCAGCGCTTTGAAGTAGGGGGAAGAGGGGAAAAAAAGATTTTAAAGCCTACAATCCCTGCAAGACTGTGTTAAACAACAATTGGGCTCCTTCATTTTGCAGCAGACCTTCCGGGAGGAAACATTTAATCTCAATGGAAGAAGAAACATTTAATCTCCATTCCTACTGACTTTGTCACTTTGTATCCTGTGGCTGCCCTGAAACATTCTAAACTGGGGAAAAAGTGCCTTCTTTCTTCAGAACTGATTTTAAATGTCAAAAAACATTTAAGAATTTTCTCAGCCTGTTTTTAATCATGGCTTTGAGAATCTATTATTGGAACATCAATGGTTTAAATTCACTTCAGAAAAGGAGACAGGTTTTTCATGTATTGGAAAAACAGAATTTGGATGCAATTTGTTTATAGGAAACCCATATCACGAGATTACATAGAAAAAATTTAATAAATAAAAGACTTGGACAAGAATTCATTTCCTTGGACAAAGTGAAAAAAAGAGGAGTGGTTTTTTATATAAAGGAAAAATAAAATCCAAAATTGATTTTTAAAGATGAGGAGGGAAGATACATAGCAGTGGAAATTATAGCACAAGGCGAAAAATATTTGTTACTAGGAATCTATGCACCTAATGATGACAAAGCAGAATTCTTTAAGAACTTGGAAACAAGTCTTTTGGAACACTTGGATTATAAATTAATTTTAATGGGAGACTTGAATGGAGTTGCATCTACTTTGATGGATAGGACTCAGAGACAAAAGAATTTGAATACTGGCAGATTACCTAAGACTTTGTTTTTATATAACTGACAAATTTGATTTGTCAGACATATGGAGAGTTAGAAATCCAATTGAAAAAGACTTCACTTTTTTCTCAGATGCAAACCAATCATTTTTGAGAATCGATCCAGAGACTTGGTTTCTAAAGTATTAAAAACGGAAATTTGCCCTAAAACTTGCTCCGATCATAATGCAGTTTTTATGGACCTGAAAATGTTTGTAGAGGGTTCCTTCAGATGGAGAATGAATGATGATTTGTTGAGAAGTACTTCAATTGTGAATAAAGCCCCAAAACCCTAAAAGATTATTTTGAACTTAATATGAATCAGGGAACGGAAACTAGGGTTATTTGGGATGCCAGCAAAGCAGTGATGAGAGGATTTCTGATACAGCAAAATTCCATCAGGAGAAAGTCACAGAATGAGAGAAAAGATAAAATTATGGAGCAATTGAAAGATAAAGAGAAGATGCTTAGAGGAAGCCCAAAGAATCTGCAGATACAAAAAGAAATTAAGGCTTTACAGATTCAATATTCAGTTAGTAAATAAAGAAATAGAATGGAAGATAAGAAGGATGAGACAAAGAAATTTTGAATCTGCAAATAAATGTGGGAAATTATTAGCCTGGCAGTTAAACAAGAGACAAAAGCAAAGTACTATCACAAACATAGTAAAAGAAGGAAAATCTGTATAGAGAATCCTGCAAGACATAAGAAAATGTTTTTACAAATACTACAAACAGCTGTATAAAAAACATAAAGATTTGGCAAAAATTGAGCAATTATCAAGATTAATGGTTTGCAGCAGATTCCGGATGATAAAAAGATCCTACTAAAAGGTTTAATTACAAGACAGGAAGTTGAACAGGCAATAAATTCAGTGCAACTTGGCAAGACACCGGGACCTGATGGTCTATCAGCGAAATACTATAAGACATTGAAAGATTGGCTTATTCAACCACTGGTAGAAGGAACCAATTTAATTCTGCGAGGGGGCAAAGCACCTGAAACCTGGAAGGAAGCGTATATTACTCTGATTCCTAAACAGGGTCAAGATAGACCCAATGTTAAAAACCAATCTCCCTACTCAATGTGGATTATAAAATTTTTGCAAATATATTGGCTAACAGGCTAAAGAAGGTTTTATCTAAATATATCCACAAGGACCAGGCAGGATTTCTGCCTGGAAGACATATGAAAGACAATATTAGGAATGTTGCGGATATTTTGGAAAAATTAGAAGCAAGAAAGAGTTGTAAAGCAATGTTAATGTTTATTGACGCAGAGAAGGCCTTTGAAAATGTATCTTGGAGATTTATGCTATATAATTTTGAGAGTATGGGGGTTGGTCAAGATTTTTAAAATGGTATTAAAGCGATCTATCAAGAACAAAAAGCTAAAATTATTGTAAATAATGTGGTCTCGGAGGAAAGTAGAATTGAGAAGGGAACCAGGCAAGGGTGCCCACTTTCCCCTCTGCTGTTTATTTCAGTCCTAGAGGTCTTGCTAAGTATGATTAGAAAAGATGAACAAATCAAAGGTATTACAGTAGGATCCAAACAATATAAATTAAAAGCCTTTGCTGACGATCTAGTACTGACATCACAAGATCCAGACTCCAGTGCAGTAAAAGCACTGGAGTTGACACAATAATATGGGCAGGTAGCAGGATTCAAGTTAAATAAGAGCAAAACCAAAGTGTTAGAGAAAAATCTGGACAATGAGGAAAGAAAACTACTACAAGAAAAGATTTTGTGAAAAAAGTTAAGTATCTGGGTGTGAATCTGTCTGGGAAAAATCTGAATTTATATAAAGATAACTATGAGAAACTATGGAATGAAGTTAATAGAGATTTAGAGATATGGTCAAATTTAAAATTGTCATTAATGGGCCGGATTTCAGTGGTTAAGATGAATGTATTGCCAAAGATGCTTTTTCTGTTTTAAGCCCTCCCAATTATTGACAATGTGAAATGTTTTAAAGAATGGCAGAAAGCTTTATCAAGATTTATCTGGCGGGGGGGAAACCCAGAATTAAATACAAACTACTTACAGACTCTAAGGAAAGAGGG